AATGTGGGGAACGACGCCCTCCAGTATCATAACAACACAGCCTTCAGCACCAAGGACAAGGACAATGACAACTGCTTGGACAAGTGTGCCCAGCTCCGCAAAGGTGAGATTTGAGGGGATGGAAAAGGAGAAGTTCAGGTACAAGCCCATAATCCCACTTGAGAAGAAAGAATGAATTATAACTGTACAGCTGAAGTTCCGGCTTTGATTCTTTCTGATACTGGCTCTAACTCCTTACCTGATGTCTGGTCTCTATCACAGTCCGCTTACTAGCACTGGGTCTGTTTCTCATGCCAGGTGGCTACTGGTACAACTGCTGCACAGACTCCAACCTCAATGGAGTGTACTACCGCCTGGGCGAGCACAACAAGCACCTGGATGGCATCACCTGGTACGGCTGGCACGGATCTACCTACTCCCTCAAACGGGTGGAGATGAAAATCCGCCCGGAAGACTTCAAGCCTTAAAAGGAGACTGCCGTGGAGCACAGATGCAGAAAGTGAGACACTTGGAGACTGGATGAGGGCAGAGAAGGACAGGAAGAGAGTGTTAGAAAGGGTAGGGTTGAGAAATAGCCTATAATCTCCAATGAAAGAATAAGTCTCCAAGAGGCACAATAAAATCGTATGTACCAAGGATGTTACAGTAAACAGGATGAGCTATTTAAACCCACTGGATCCTGCCATCCTTCCCAAGTGGCTAGACTGAGTGGGGCCACTCTGCCCAAGATCCCTGACATAGCACTAGCTTGTCTTTTCCACATGATTTGTCTGTGAAAGAAAATAATTTTGAGATCGCTTTATCCATTTTCTCTAAGGCTTAGGGTATGTAAGGGCAAAACACAAATCCCTTTGCTAAAAAAGAACTGTATTATTTTGATTCTCAAAGGAGAGGCCTTTGAGTGTTAGAGAAAGGACTGAAGGAGGGAGGTGGAAGATGAGTATTTCCATTTTTAAATCTGGTGAAATTACCTTGAGTCTACACATTATTTTTAAAACACAAAAATTGTTCAGCTGGAGGTGAACTGACCCAGAGTGGACTTGCAGGGAGGAAACTCCAGGTCATTGGGCCTGATGATTGGACTCTGAGCACCGCCCCTGCTCGCCTTGATCAGGTACAGAACTGAAAGGCACGAAGCACCGGGAGGAGGTGGACAGGGTCCCTCATGGATGCCTGCACACAACTGCCTTAGAATATTACTAGTGAATACAGGTATACCTATTTTTATTTACTTTGTAAGAAACAAACTCAAGGAGCTTCCTTTTAAAATTTTGTCTATAAAAAATGGCTGAAAAATGCAGGTAGATGGTGTTATAGTTAATAATGAATGCTGTATATAAGCATCTTGCTTTGTAAAAATAAAATATTGTGTTTGTTTTAAATATTCAAAGTTTCTTTTCCTTCTACAATAAACACTTTCAAAACCTGAGTATTTTCTTTTTAAATTCTTACCATTACCACTTAGAGCAGGATAAAAAGTTAAAGTTAAATCAGAGCAGTGACAGAGACCTGGAGTTTGTTTTGGTATTCAGGGCAACCATGTGGGGAGTAGAAGCCAAAAGGGAACAGGTGAGGGACAAAAGGGCAGCAACAACCAGGATAATTTTTCCTAAAAGGGATTACATGTCAGGGACTGGGCAGTGAAGGCATCCAGCCTTATGAGACCTCTATTCTACTCAGGATAGAGAAGCAAAAGCAGGTCAGCAGACCCTACCCTAATGCTCGGGTCTAACCAAGTAAAAGCAGTGTGTGCATGTTTCCTAAGAATCAAATAATCACTCAATCCTCTGTCTCCAAGGAAGCAATTATATTTACTGATATATGTGAGCTTTAAGGAGATGGCAGTAGTTTATACTATCTCAGTGACAGCCCTGCTTTGGGGATTACATCTGGGATTTAATTTATCCTGGAGCAGACAGGTAAAAAAGTCAATAGGTGCAAAGACGGGCTGAACTAGTAGCCTGTCTCTAACACTAGAGAATAACAGTGTCAACAGAACACAGGTTTTTAAAGCAAAAACAAAAAATAAGAAATAGCTGCACAAGGCGAGGCAGGTGTGGTGGCTCATGCCTGTAATCCCAGCACTTTGAGAGGCCGAGGCAAGGTCAAGAGATCAAGACCATCTTGGCCAACATGGTGAAACCTTGTCTCTACTAAAAATACAAAAATTAGTTGGGCCTGGTGGCATGCGCCTATAGTCCCAGCTACTTGGGAGGCTGAGGCAGGAGAACTGCTCAAACCCAAGAGGCAGAGGTTGCAGTGAGCTGAGATCACACCACTGCACTGTAACATTCTAGCCTAGCAACAGAGCGACATTCTGTCTCAAAAAAACAGTAGCTGCACAAAGATGTTTTTGTGTAGGGCTACCTTGATTGCTTCAAAAAGAATTTAGGATGGTTGACCCAAATGTATATATTAAAATAAGCTCTAAAAAAGCAGACAAACTGGTGAAGGGAAAATAAGAGTAGGAAAAATAAAACAAAACCTGTGGGGTTTGAGGGAGGTTGGTAATACTTAAAACAGGTAAGATGTCTGTAATTCGTTGGAGGTACACCAGGAATTTAGCTTCAAGCTCTCCAGCAGCCACTGTAAGAAAGGGAATTCAATCTCTTACTGCAAAGCAATGTCTCCAAGACTGGATCAAAGTAGTGGCTCAGGGACATACAACCAACAGTGGGAAAAGAACCCTGAGATTTTCCATGAGGCTCACCCACAGAACCAGAGGTAGTGCTGTGAGCAACTTCCTTAGCAGCAGCTTTCTCTAAGGTTGTTTCTTAAAACTTTCTTCAGTAAAGATGACAGTAAACCACCACAACCGGGCTTAGGAACAGCAGCTTTACAAAATCAGAAGTAAAAACTGCAAATGGAAGCAAAAAAAAAAAAAAAGTTGATGGGAAGATACAGGAGACCAGCAGAAGGGAGGTAGAAATGCAAGCTAAGTTGACTTAGCTGAGGACACCTGAAGAGCTAAGCACACTGGCTTTCCCCAGAAACACGCATTCATTCATTCATTCATTTATTCATTGAGACAGAATCTAGCTGTCACCCAGGCTAGTACAGTGGCACGACCTTGGCTCAATGCAACCTCTGCCTCCTGGGTTCAAGCTGCCTCAGCCTCCCAAGTAGCTGGGATTATAGACGCACACCACCACACCCAGCCAATTTATGTATTTTTAGTAGGGATGGGGTTTCACCACGCTGGCTGGGCTGGTCTCAAACTCCTGACATCAAGTGATCTACCTACCTACCTTGGCCTCCCAAAGTTCTGGGATTACAGGTTTGAACCGCCACACCTGGCCTGGAACAGCATTTTAAACAAAGGGCAAGATCAATTTCCAGGGAATTCTGAGGACTTAACTTTCAACTATATTTGCTTACAAAGCTAAATAACCTTCTAGAGTCTTTTCCAGGCCTCCAACTATATCTGTCTGCTACAAATCTGCATAACTTTAAGTTTCTGTGATTGTCTCAAATATGGGGGAAAATTAAGGGTGGAACGAGGGAAGTTTCAAATAGGTAAGCAAGGAAATTAATATGCAAAATGAGTTACCTGACCTTAAAGTGATTATACTTAGTTATCATATTTATTTTCTTTTTAGGTTTTTTTTTTTTTTGAGACGGAATCTCGCTCTGTTGCCAGACTGGAATGTAGTGGTGCCATCTAGGCTCAATGCAACTTCCACCTCCCGGGTTCAAGCTATTCTCCTGCCTCAGCCTCCCGAGTAGCTGAGGCTACAGGTGCCTGCCACCACGCACAGCTAATTTTTGTATTTTTAGTAGAGACAGGGTTTCACCATGATGGCCAGGATGGTCTTGATCTCTTGACCTCATGATCCGCCTGCCTCAGCTTCCCAAAGTGCTGGGATTATAGGCGTGAGCCACCGAACCCGGCCATTTTTTCTCTTAGTTATCATGTGAGAGCACATTACCTAAGCCAGAGAATGAAGAAAGAAACATAGGTTTTCACATTTACTGTGCCTGATTTGAAGCTGAGGCATGCCTCCTCTTAGGACAGCATGTTTTTAATTGTTCCTACATGGTATTTTAGAAATCAATGTTTTCTCCAAGTCCAATTTATTTGGGCAAAAACAGGATTTTATTTCTAGCTTTTTGCTAACTTTTTAAAGTGTTAAAGGAATTCTTTTAAACATCTTCTCAAAAGCAGAGCTAGGAAAAGACTTGGCTATTTGATGACCCTCTCCAAGGAAGGAAGCACCACACACAGCAGGCTTTATCAGCCACGGTGAAGGAACTTATTAGCCGGATGATTTTTTTCTAAACTATCTGCAGTGAAATGACCGGCCATGTTAGCATTCACATGAAGATAATGAGATCCCAGAGTTGATATTCTCTGATAATCATTAGGGGAAGTGAATGGTTCTTTAGGAGCTGGAGCTAATGTTTCATGCTGCTTCTAATTTCCTAACAGCAGAAAATTTATTAAACAACCTATTTTTTCCATACCCAGAAGACTGAAAACGCTCAGCACAGGAGAGAACATAGCCAAATTAGAGAAAAGACCATTAGATTTCAGATTATGCTCTGGCTTTTACATTCGCAAAGCACCAGAGGAGGAAGATGCAGGCATTGATATTTAGTTGATAAAACCCCACTGTGCCCTTGGGTATCCTCTGAAGCCCAGGAACCAGCATATTCTACTCCAGTCCTAAACAGCACTATCTAACCCAGACACAAAACCTATCTTCCTAGGCTGCCATGGCCACAGAATTGCTTCTCAACTAATTTCACTGGACAAGAAAGGACAAGCTGGAAAACAGCAGGAGCCCAGGTAGTAAAGGGTCAAAAGAAATGACAATCATGGCTAGATTCCTGGGGAGAGCCATCTGCAACAACATGTCATTTAAATATGCTGGTCAGACCCAGAGGCAGATTTCACAGAGCAGAAGTCTCCAAGTGACTCCAGCGAAGTGGCACCAGGCAGTGGGAGAGGAGAGGTCATTTTGGATGGAGGTGGCAAATAAAAAGGGTTTTTGACCTACCTGATGAGAGATTCTAGAATGGCAGGGGTGGGGCCTTTCTGGAACTCCAGTTCTTTGTAGTGTAGTGCTTTGGCATATGCTCGGCACTTGGCAGCTCTCTCACCCAGCAGAACAATGCCATTGTCGTCTCTCAGTGGCAGGGGGCCCTGGAGGAGAGCAAAACCCCACAACACAGGAAAATGGCAGATGGGGCACAAACAAGAGAAGGCTGTGTGGATGCTTCTCTCCTCCCACCAGCTGGTTCCCTGTCAGCCTCCATCTGGACAATGGGGAAAAGTCTCACCTTGTCACTGTGTTCCATGAACTCAGCCAAGTTTAAGAGGGTTTGTGTGACTTCAGCAATGTCTTGTGAGGTGAGGGCCAACTCGATGCTTCTGATGAGCTCATCCTGTTGATCTTCATTCAGCTCAGACCAGCAGGACACAAATGCAGCATTGAAGAGATCCCTGAAGGCAGAGGAGGTGAAAAAAGATGGAGACACTCCCATGCCTCTGCCTGCTGCCTCAAAGTCACACCTATCAATGGGCTTTTGGCATCCCTGATTCTGGTTATACAGACCAGTGCTGTCCAACAGAAGTTTCCTATCCAATATGGTAGCCACTGATCATTAAGCACCTGAACTGTGGCAAGTGTGGCTAAGGAACTGAATATTACATTTTATTTATTTTTAATTAAATTAACCACATATGGCTAGTGACTACTGAATCTTACAGTGCAGGTATAGACATTGTGATATACAGGTGACTTGGAGGGAGAGTGATAGGGTCAGGAGAGCAGAAGCGTGGGGAGAAGAGCAGAGCAAAGTAACTTTTCTCCAAAGGAATATTTGTTAGCAGTTTTTGCATCATTTCTCTTCACTGGAGGAAATGGGAAATGAACAGAATGGGGACTTCTAACATAGAAGTCGGCATTAACAAATGCAGAAAATAATAATCATTACATGATTCTTGGGATGTTACTGGGATAATGTCTACATTCTTAAGATCAAAAATGTCAAAGGCACCATCTGCTCTTGCTTTCCAAATATAACCAGAACGCTTAGTTGGACTGTCATAAAAAATGACAACAGGACTAGAAACATTAGCAAATAGGATCCAAATCCCTAAGTTCTACAAGATTCTCTAAGCCGATCTCTAACAGTTGGGGCCTCACAAACAACTGGAACCAGAGGTTCCACTTCAAAGATTACTATGACCACTTTACATTACCACAGTGCCACATGGAGGGACACATTCACCATCCCTGACATCTAACTTTAATCCTATCCTCCACTGTTTTGGTGACTGTGCGGGAAAGGGAGTGGGAAACAACAGGATATGCCTATAATGGATAGATTTAGCATGTGATGCCTCAATGTTTATTTTCTGTTATATCAACAAGTTAAGTTAGACCAATATGCATGATTTTGAAATTTGATAGAAAAAAATTTTAAAATCCAAAGGATAAAATGAAGACCAAAAAAAGTCCCTTATAAATTTAAAAGTAAGTTTTTGGAGCCAGGTAATTACAGTTGCTGGTCATCCTGGCGACCTGGGAGGCTGAGGCAGGAGGATCTCCTGAGATTAGGAGTTCAAGACCAGCCAGGGAAACAAGCAAGATCTTCATCTTTAAAAACATAAAAAGAGTTTTCCTGATCTAGATCAGAGGCCACATTAGATCCTGAATGACCATATTTGGGACTAAAGGGATAAAAATATTATGTGTATATTTACCACAAGCCTCTGTGGATAACAGTATGCTCAGAGGTGACTCGGGCAGGAAAGAGGAACAATAAATGGATCAGCTGAGCATATGAAATCTGCACACTACAGAAACAGGGAAGTCCTAGAAACTATTTTTAAAGCATTAAAAAATACTTGAAAGAAATTAGAGGAAGCAAATCATGGCATCAAAGCAACAGTCTCAGGGGCCATCACTACTGCTAAATACACATCATAACAGCAAAGCAGCTGTGCTGACAAAAATGAAGTGAAATGCCTTGCTTTCTGCTTGCTAATGCGAAGGGCTGCTTATTAATTAAATTACCATTTTATGTCTCATTATAAATAATGTCCAATGCAGAAATATCTAAAAAATAAGGAAGAGAATAAAAAAGAAACTAATCACTCCTTAAACCTTCCTAGAGATAACCATTGCTATATTACTTTCTAATCTTTATTCTATTCACATACATTTTAATTTTCAATTTTGTATTCCATTGTATTTACTTACATTATATTATAAATCTTTCACCTGTATTAAAATTTTTTATAAACCAAAAAAATTTTTTTTGAGATGCAGTCTTGCTCTGCCACCCAGGCTGGAATGCAGTGGCACAACTGTGGCTCTGTATAGCCTCCAACTCCTGGGCTCAAGCAATGCCCCTGCCTCAGCCTCCTAAATAGCTAGGATTACAGGTGTGTGCCACCACGCTTGGCTAAATTTTTTATTTTTGTAGAGATAGAGTCTGGCTATGTTGCCCAGGCTGGTCTTGAGCTCTTGGCCTCCTGTGATCCTCCTGTCTCAGCCTTCCAGAGTAGTGAGATTACAGGCATGAGTCATCACACCCAGCCTGTAAACCAAATTTTAAATGGCTGTTTAAGATTTACTACTTGGCCAGGCGCGGTGGCTCAAGCCTGTAATCCCAGCTACTCGGGAGGCTGAGGCAGGAGAATTGCTTGAACCCAGGAGGCGGAGGTTGCGGTGAGCTGAGATTGCACCATTGCACTCCAGCCTGAGTAACAAGGGCGAAACTCCGTCTCAAAAAAAAAAAAAAAAGAAAAGAAAGAGGTCGCCTTTGTGACAGTCAACACTTACTACTCCCAGTAGAATGCCACCTCTAGTCGGGCCAGGCACCCAGCCTCCCTGCAGCCCAGCCAGCTAGAGTGAATGCCCAGGGGACACGCACAGCCTCTGTGCAGGGAGGCCTGGGAATAAACCACTTGGGACCTGGTGTGGCCTCTGCTAACACTGCCAGGGAGGTAAGAGGCGGACAGTCACCGTGAGCTCACTGTGTGACTGCAAATGCCGCCAGCCTCCGCAGGGACAGAGCACAGGCCTCTCCGGGGGAGTAAATCCCCCCACACTCCTGGAGTCCCTTGGCACCCCTGAGCCTGGTTAGCGGGTCTGTGAGGTATGAGTGGAAAGAAAGAGCCCTCTTCACACTGCAGCCAAGGGCTTCCCATGCTCTAAGAATACCAGTGCGGGTGGAAGTCTTCCCAGAATCCCAGCATACGTTCCCCTAGTCTAATAACCTGGTAATTCCACAAAACGGGAAGAAAGCCTGGACTTGGCATGGGTTATTCTTAGTACACGGCGCCGTCTGTGAAGGACGGAAGCTTTCCAGGCACTCCGGGCCCATCTGCTGATGATGCTTTCGAGAACTCTCCCGGCATGCACCATCCTCTCTGCCCACCTTCTGCTTCTGAGATCCACCACCCTCTGGAATCCCCTCTCCAGCCTAGGGCTCCTCCCCTGGCTTCTCAGAGGAACCAACAGGGCCTCTGTCCTAAGAGCCAAGTGGAAATGGGCTAAACTCTCTCTCTCTAAGAAGAAGCAAACCCCAAATCTCACTCCATGTGGTATCTTAAAAAGGCACAACAAGAAAACTATACAGACAGAAGGCCTAGCCAAAGATGGGCCACAGCCACAGGCAGAGAGCAGCAACAGCAGCAGCAGTGACCCCGGCCAGGGCCATGTCGGGACAAGGTCTGGCACCCTGATGGATGTGCACACGGCCTGCTGCCTGGCAGCAAGGATCTGCTTCCCTGGCACTCAGCGCCCACCACACAGGCAGGTGGGTGGGGCGGAGGGCGGGCAGTGACCTTGCAGAGGCTCATGGGGAGAAGCAGCAAGGGGGACGAGGGCCATGCTGACAGGGCCTCAACTGGAAGACCCAGCAGGGAACAGACAGGCCTCAGTGTGACGGGGAAAATCCAGGCCACCCTCCTGCATGTTCCAGACCCCACTGCTGCTAGCTCCCCTTCCGAGGAGGCCAACAGGCATCAGGCATGTGACCGTGCCAGTGGCCCACCACACACCAACCAGCACCACCTCCTCTAGTGTTTGTAATCACACCAAGAAACGCTGATCCCTCTCGCATGCTGCCTGCTCATCCACCCACTCTATTCTGCCCCTCTGTGCCCCAGCCCAAGGCTGTCTCCTGCTGCCACAACTGGCAGCTCTGGAGGCTTGTGGGGCCCACAGTTGTTAATCCCATCGCCCAGGTCATCCAGGAGCACACTCTGGTGGAAAACATTTCTAACAACATTTGACGGGCCAAGGCCCCATCCAGGCAGGACTCAACGCCTGTCATCGCAGCACTTTGGAAGGCTGAGGCAGGAGGACTGTTTGAGGCCAGGAGTTTAAGGCCAGCCTGGGACACAGCAAGTCCCTGTCTCTACAAAAAGCAAATAAAAACAATTAGCCGGGGGCAGTGGCATGTGCCTCCCACCTTCTTGGGAGGCTGAGGTGGGAGGATGGCTTGAGCCTGGAAAGTCAAGTCTGCAGTGAATTATGATCACGTCACTGCACTCCAGCTTGGGCAGCAGAGCAAGACCCTGTCTCAATATAATATCAATAATATAATCAAATAAGGCCGAGTGTGGTAGCTTATGGCTGTAATCCCAGCATTTTGGGAGGCTGAGGCGGGTGGATCATTTGAGATCAGGAATTCAAGACCAGCCTAGCCAACACGGTGAAACCCTGTCTCTACTAAAAATACAAAAATTAGCCGTGCGTGGTAGCGCAGGTCTGTAACCCCAGCTACCCTGGAGGCTGAGGGAAGAGGATCGCTTAAACCCAGGAGGTGGAGGTTGCAGTGAGCAGAGATTGTGCCACTGCACTCCAGCCTGGGTGACAGCATGAGACTCTGTTTCAAAAAAGTAAAGTAAAATAAAATAATAATAAAAATTAGCCAAGCATGGTGGCATGCATCTGTAGTTCCAGCTACTTGAAAGGCTAAGGCAGGAGGATCGCTCGAACCCAGGAGTTTGAGGCTGCAGTGAGCTATGACAGCACCACTGCACCTCAGCCTGGGTGACAAAGCAAGACTTCGAGTCTCAAGAAACAGAAAAAAAAAGCCTCAGCCAAGGGTTGCCTGTGGTGCCAGAGCGTTCTTAGCCTGCCTGCACAGACATGTGAGCATGCACACGTATGCTGTTGGGTTAACACACCAGGGTCCCATGGCTCCATTCTCCCTGACGGGCCACACAGGTCTGTCTACACCAGGGCCCTGTCCCGTGGCTCATCCCTGCCCAGCTTTCCCGCTGCTCTGCCTCTCAGCTCTGGCTGGTGTTTTAGTCCCATCGAGCGACCATCCCTAGCACATGCTCTGCACATGGGCTGATATGCTTTAGATTTGTGTCCCCACCAAATCTCATGTTGAATTGTAATTCCCAGTGTTGGAGGTGGGGCCTGGTGGGAAGTGACTGGATGATGGGGACAGAATTCTCATGAAGGTTTAGCACCATCCCCCCTTGGTACCGTACAGTGATGGAGTTCTCACGAGATCTGGTTAAGTATGGGGCCCCTCCCCCATCTCTCTCTTCCTCCTGCTCTGGCCATGTGAAGTGCTGGTTCCTACTCTGCTTGCTGGCACGAT